TTAAAAGGTTAACTTAATAATCACATTCCAATCATTACTTTGAAAATATTTACAAATGCACTCCATGTGACAGACCCATCAATTTGTTCAAAACATTATGTTCCACCAATGTGCTAAAAACATTATGTTCTACAATATGTTGAAAACATATTCTATCAATGCTCAAAACGTTATGTTCTATCAATATGTTTGAAATATTATGTTCTATCAATGTGTTTGAAACATCATGTTCTATCTTGTTCTATCAATACATTCAAAACATTATGCATATATTTTAAAAATATTTAAGGTATGTCACTCGTGAAATTTGTTATATCAAGGATTTTTTGAGAAGTATATTTTGGATAAGTACTCATATAGTATGACTCAAAATCGCAGAGAAAACGGGGGGTCAGTGTGCATCTAACTGAGCTACGGTACAATTAAGTTGACCTTTTTGCACTTAAATTGTAACACTTTTGTTAATCACTTTGACCGTTATCATATTTTATAAGATGTAACTATGGCAATAAACATAATCTTATTTTACTTAAAATAGTTTGAATAATATTTATCATTGAACAAATCATGCAAATTAATGCGCGTAAATTATTGTGTGACCTATTTGCACTAAAAAAGTCTCATATTTGGGGTATTAAAAATCTAAATAGACAATAGAATATTTTCTTGTATCAAACTTTTTACGACTTAAGTGCTGATCGGTCAAAAGTATCGAGTAGTTTAAAATAATGAAAGAAAAAGTTGGGGTCAGTGATGTAAATTTTGAATTATTGGTCAAAATATGCGATTTTCAGGCAAAAAACTGTGTAAATTTTATCTCGACTTCCTTAATATATCTTCATTTCTTGGCAATGTTTGTTGAGCGAAGGTGTAAATTTTGTTATAAAAATATAAATTGAGACCTATATTTAATATTCCAGGCATATCATAACGGAAAATATTCTCTGAGTAAAAGTATGTGAGGCTAAGGTTCCAAGATATTAAATTTAATAAATGTGTAGATTTGCAGAATTTTCTGCTAAATATCCTTACGCCACAAGAAATAGTCCCTTATAAATCTTGCTTCTTTGTGAATTTTTGAGCAGTTCTTTAATTGAATGTTGAACATTTTACATTGTTTAATTTAAATATGATATAAAGATTGAATTGTAATAAATAGTTTTTAAGTAAGAGGTTCTGACTGAAATTTTCTAAAAGGCTGACGAGTGATATACCTTAAATTAATGCACTCCATGTCAAATTTTTCCATAACGACAAGTTTGTTTTGAACATGTGTCAGACTGTTCAATGTGAGCTTGAACTTTAATCTTCATTAAACATGTTCAACGTTTTCAATGTTTGTGACATCAAAATAAAATTCATACTTTAATCTTTTGATCTCCCGTCCATGTTACATGTATAGTGTTTTGAATGCCATAGCTTTCCACACACTTTATAAGGAAAATACATGTACAATGTAAATATTTTATTAAACATCAATTTATGGGGTTTTTTTCAGAACTCTTTAGTCCACTCATCCTTTTTATCAGAGGAGCTCATTGGAGCTTAAGGCTCAGCTGAGCTGAAAAAGGGAGTTATTTTTGCTTCAAAAATACACTAAAACCTGTTGTACAGTACCACTTTAGAAAACCATTTTGATAAATTTTGTGAAAATTTATTAATTGTAAAATTGCAAAAATTTCTCCCATCTGAACAAAAGAATGATAAAGGAAAAGATAATGATTATCAATTTTGATTAAGAAAGTTTACTTGAGTTTTGGATCCGTTCAACTAAAATAAATTTTGACGTTGCAAATTTAGATTGTCATATTCATGCAGGGCCATCATCTGGTTTCTGGAAAGCAGGGTGTGCGGGAGGGACATCCCCTCCACTAAGCCAGAAAATTTCTGTATAAATGGGTCTTCTTTCGGTGGGGTCTGGTGCTCTGGAAGTCACCCCCCCCCCCCAATAAGCAAAATGTGGTAGGATTACTTTTAAATAGATGAATGTTAAATTTGTTTAGTTTCAAAAATGGTATTTTAATACCTTTTTAAGGGGGAAGGCTGCGATTGCACCCAGCCCCCCCCCCCCCCCCCCATTCTGACAACCTTGATATTTGAAACATTCAGAAATTACAACCATGAACTACAACTTTACCTTATTTCAACCTTATTATTTAATTATTATAACTATTTGTTAATCTCATTATGTACTTTGGTTGGGTCATCTTTTATCAACCTTTATGAGACCACTACTGCCAAGCATTTCAAAAGATAAACCATGATTATATAAAAGTAATATAAAAATATAGAGCAGTACAATTAAAACTACTCTCCTGGGAAATCTATGATTACAAAGTGTGATGAAACAGAATGACTAAAAATATGATGCTACCTTTAAGTTGTAATTAAAAAAAATAGACTATTCCCATGTTGGAACCTACTACGATAAGATGTTTGCATAGATAGATAACCAATACAATTAATAGGAGTGTTGATCAATGTATTTGATAAAATGAGGACAAAAGTGTGTGACCCACAAATCATAACCTTTGCTTTTTAAATGAAGCAAGCTCACATTTCTCTTCAGGTCTTGTTATATCTGTCATGTACTAGATTGAACCCCACAATATTTTGAACCAGTGTTCAAAATATTATGGCCGCAAAATGTTGAACCCTGCAAATTTTTTTTTTTTTTTCGGTGATAGGGTGCAGTGGGGGATCAAGACATTATGGCTGCAAAATACTGAATGCCTATTAAACTTCTATAGATAATGGGGTGGGGGTTAAAAATATTATGGCTAAGAAATATTGACCATCCTACAGAGTAGAGAGGTTTTGCAAATCAATCCGTCTGCAAACTTATACGTATAGCAGGAAATTCCCCCGGAAAAATCTGTCATTACATGGTCAGTTTTTGCAAATAACATTTCTACATGTATCTATGTAGGTGTACATCACCAAGTACCTGTAAGTACCAGCTTGTAGCTTATATTTCCTTATTTGCTGTTTATTTCAATAAAAGTGTGTGTTTTTCTAAAACTTGAAGATATAATGTGAATACTCACTACTGATATATAAAGCACTAATAGTTTATCATTAAAAAATATCAATCTATAGAGTGTTAGATACACAAAGTCTTGATGGTGTATTGTAACTGTCTTGTTTGTGTGTCCTGTCTTGTCAGTTCATCCTGACACAGAAAGGATATAATTTTGGAATTAATAAAAGTTTTGGCAGAGATTTTAAAAAGCTTCTCAAAACTGCATTTTAAAAAACTTTCAAGATCAAGGTCATGAGGTCAAATATCATAATAAAATCCAAAAGGTCTTGTCACAATCAATGTACTTGTGAAAAAAAAATTAAAGCCCTGTTTCTTCTGGGGAAAAAATTATGACTAACTTTAAATTTTTTTACAAGTAGGTCAAACCTCTAAGTCAAGGTCATGAAGTCAAAATTGATAGAAAGACCTATCTTCCTCATTCTCAAGTTATTACCAATGATGCTGTGAATAAAACTGGAGGTGTTGAAACATTAAAAACATAATTATTTAAACCAAATGATATATTCAAGCTTGGATTTTTTATGTGTATTTGTAGATTCATAGCATTGTTTTCATCTTAAATCTGAAAGACGCTGTGAGGGGGTTTGACTAAGAAAGAAAGGGGGGGGGTCCACTATAATTTCAAAACAGGTCATTTAAAAAAAATTACAAAAAATCATCAAAATTATTTTGGTAACTACATGTACCTACATGAAGAAAGTTTTTTTCCAAAATAAATGATAGGTTTTTTCATAAAAAATAATATTTAAATTGAAAAACATGCATTTTTGAAGGCTAAGATGAACATATAGTTATTCAGTTTAAGTTCTTTAAAATTGTTTTTGTCGATGTGTACCTCTACAAAACTACTTTATTTGACTGTAATGTTTGATTAATGGTTAAAAGAATAAGTCACTGAAATTTGACAGCTAGGCTAACCTGAGTTTTTTTAAAATCAAGGATTATATAGTTCGCCGGTTAAAAATTTCCTCTCCTCGTGAACAACCAAAGGGAGTTAACTTTTGGAACCTCCTGTCCAAATACGACTCCAATGATTTTTTCCAAAATGTGCATATGCATTGGAGATATAGTCATAAAATGTACAAAAATAACGAAAATTAAATGACAGAAATTGGGGGGGGGGGGGGGGAGTTGTACATCCTTAATTGTTTATTTAAAGGTTTGCACTGGTATTTTCTTTTTCTTCATTTTGTAAAAGGTTAATACATGTAATAATTTATTCATGGAAAAAGTTTGCTTGCTAAATTTCCATGAGTAGATAGGAAGATTTTCAAAGGTTTATTTCAATATGACCAACAAGCTCAACCCTAGAGGCCAGAGGATATGACTTTCAAAATTTTGGTCAACAGTAGAGAGCTGATTATAATCAAGCTAATAGACTGCCTGCTGGATATCCTTTAATAAAGAAGATTTTAAAAGATACAATGCATTTTCAATTACATGTATGACTAACTTAGCCCCACCCTTGGGCCTGCACTGTGAACCCATGGGCCATGAATGTCAAAATTTTGGTACAGGGCTCATTGCTTATTATAATTAAGCCAACAGTTTCACTGACTAATTGATGTCCAGGGTTAAGAAGGTCCCACCCCTTAGGCCCCAGGGAGGATTGACTGTTTGATAGCAGGGATATAGGGTGAAGCCCAAGTTCAATGGCATTGTGTAATTTTAGCATCTTTATATCATAATTTACATTTGTGTAAAGTTGATAAGTTATGATCAAAATATGTACATGTAGGTCATAATAAACAGAGACAAAAAAATTCATTTACCTATTTCAAGGATGACGATGAGGACTGATGTCAAAAATAATTACGGTACAAATGTTGTGAGTGAAGCACAGAGATTATAATACATATTTAAAAGACAAATAGATATCAGCAATCCACTGACTAGTTAGCCTCACAATACTTAACCAGTGCCAGAATCTTGTCTGTGTCTCAAACTATCAGCTTACCCGACTCCTTGGATTCCGACATTGTTGTCAGCTTCCTTCAGGAACAAGTGCAGGAAAGCATTGAGAGATAGGTTTTGTAGCTGTGGGAATAAAGACGTGATTTATATAGCGATCAATCTAAAAGCAGCAGAACGGCATTAGTAAAGCAATAAAATGTCAGTACATGGAGATAATGAAGAACCTGAGCCTATTACCTGCAATATTCTAAATTAATGCAGTACAGATATTCCTCTGTATTTATTTCCTTTAAAGTCTGCTTACTCATCAAAATATTTCTATTTCACTATAATTATGGAACTGTTTCATAATTTGCATGTCTGTCATATTAGCATAAAAATTAAATCTTTGGCATCTTCCTCTACCAAGAATTCAGGAGGGGAAAAATTGACATGAAATACATCTATCAGCCAATGAGAAAAAGAAATATTTTATGTCAATTCAAATACAGACACATAGACTTGAAAATGACCATTATCACAATTTACTTTATATCTTAAATTTAATTCATAACACAAAATTTCAAAAAGCTTCATCTCAGTTAAAGCTATAATTTGTTATCTTGATGCAGGTAGAAGAAAAAAAATATATCAATATGTTTTTTATATCATCATTATAATTATTTCTCATAAATCACAATTAACATATTTACCATATACATGTAATTATACCAGGTAATTAATTTATTTACCCTATAATTCAATGGGTAAATTTTTATTAAAAATTACTTTGAAATTTAATCATATGAGTAAAATAAGAGTTTCTGGGCAAAGAATCATATGAATACAAAGACTGATATGTTATTTTATCCAGTTTTATTCAAATCAGGGGCTTCTGAAGGTTTATTGACTTGAAATAATTATATAATATTCTATTATTAGTAAGGTGCCATGAAAATAGATGCATAGCAATATGTATCTTTAAGAAAAGCACCAATACTTTTTATCAAAATTGAAAAATATGTATCCTTATGAATTCAATAACTTACCAAGTTTAATTCAGTTCAGACAAAATCTATAGAATGAATAGCATTTTGCAAAAAAATGTTTACAGACAGAAGACAAACGTGTGAGGGGCTTCTAATATCAATGAATACTGTAAGTTCTTTGGTCTATGACCAATAGAGTTACCGGTATATAATATATGACACATGTTGATTTTGGTCTAATGACTTGTAGAGCTAAAACTTGACATACATGTTGATTTTGGTCTCTGAGTGGTACAGCTAAAAATTTTACATGTTGATTTTGGTCTATGACCAGTAAGAGTAAAAACTTGACATACATGTTAATTTTGGTCTATGACTTGTAGAGCTTAAACTTGATATATTGACTAACAAACTTTGACATACATGTTGATTCTGATGTATGAGCAGTAAAGCTAAAACTTGACACACATGCTGATTTTGGTCTATGAGTTGGTAGAGCTAAAGCTTTACATGTTGATTTTGGTCTATAACCTAAAGAGTTAAAACTTAACATACATGTTGATTTTGATCTTTGAGACGTATAGCTAAAACTTGTAGAGCTAAAACTTGAGATACATGTTGTTTTTGGTCACTGAGTGGTTGAGCTAAAATTTGACATACATGTTGATTTTGGTCTACGATCAGTAGAGCTAAAACTTGACATACGTGTTGATTTTGGTCTATGATCAGTAGAGCTAAAACTTGACATACATGTTGATTTTGGTCACTGAGTGGTTGAGCTAAAATTTGACATACTTGTTGAATTTGGTCTATGATCAGTAGAGCTAAAACCTGACATATATATACATGTTGATTTTGGTCAATGCATGACCTAAATCTTGACATACATATTGATTTCGGTCAAAGACCTGTAGAGCTAAAACTTGACATACGTGTTGATTTTGGTCCGTCTGTTCCTGGAAGCTGATTTGTCGGTAGATAGTCCATGCGTCCCTCACAGTCAGGTGCCCTTCTTCAGAATGGACACCATCTCTTATACTTCTTGTAACCCTTTCTTCTTCTCTTTTAAGGTCCTCCATTATGTCTAAATTTAATTTTCCTCCCTAGTCTACCATTGTTCAACTGTGTGCCTGAATCTCTGAAATACATCCATGACTTTATGATATGTATTATGTGTGTACATTTTAACAGTTCAACTTGTGACAAAACAGGAAGTGCACCAATTATAAACACGTTCCACTTACATGGATGTTTGATTGTAAAATACATTCCATCAACAGAATCTACTGAGATCAGGGCTAAAATACATATATAGGTTATGCCTGCTGACAAATTGCATTTACTTTTCTGAATATAATTTTGTTAATTAAATCTAGGGCTGAATTACATGTACTGTATATAAATAATCAAGTGACATATTACCTGCATCAGCTCAAACCACACTTAAGTGCATTGTAATCAGTGGCATAGCACCCTTAACGCAACAATGCAAATGAATACACAGATTTTAAACAAGAGGCCAATGGGCCACAATGCTTACCTGAGTCTTTTTGGCCCTGCTGTTCTGCATCAGATTTTCCCCAAAAATACATGTATTCCTATGTACATTTTTGATCACCTTTTAGTTTAATGGTCCCATCCTATACAAAGGGGTTGTGATTTGAACAAAAATGAATCTACAATACCAGAGAATGTTTCTGCATTAAGGGGAAGAAGGACCTTTAGCTGAAAAAATACTTGTCATTCAATTTTTTTTTATATTTTGTCTATTTCTTAGTAAGTATGTCCCACATTATCTTAAATCAGTTATATCATTAGGTTTCTTACCTTATTTTAGAGATATTGATTGACAAATATTATGCCCTACAGTATCTAAGTGGAGTTTTAATTCTCCATGTTGCCGGGCTCATTACTCTGTCCATAATTGGATTTTTAAAGCATATATAAAAAATATATAAGTGAACATGTATCTTTTAAAATATTTCAGGGTATGAATTGGGTTTAAAATTCGAAAAGGCAAGTTCCATCTATCACACTGCATCTGGATAGGGAAAATTACGAACTTTTTAAGCCAACTTAAACAACAAAAAACATAATTTACAAAAAATCCTATCATTCAATATTTTTAAATTTACATTGAAATGCAAGTCCTTCAAATTATTGATTAACTGTAAAAATTTCGAATGATGAAGCTGACCTCAATATTTCACAGGACATCATTAAAGACGACATAAGCAGCACAAAAACTTGTCATGTTTACATTTCTCGAGTACGGGAAAAACCAACTATGACGTCACAAGTAAACTAAATAAGCGAAATAAGATATACCTACATAAGATTTCCGTCATCAGCCATGCAAAAATAATTTTTGTGTTCCCTGTTTCTCAAAGTACTTCATCATATACTGATTATGACCTGTTTTTACATAATAATACCGCCCTTGTATTCACCGAGTATGATCTTGCTGTACTAGCAGATCGTGTATGACCTCACCGACTTGTTGGACGCGCAGTTTAAAGAAACAGAGGAGTGGATCAATCTTTTTTCATAATTTGTTAATACTTTCTTAGTAAGTATGTCCCACATTATCTTAAATCAGTTATATCATTAGGTTTCTTACCTTATTTTAGAGATATTGACTGACAAATATTATGCCCTACAGTATCTAAGTGGAGTTTTAATTCTCCATGTTGCCGGGCTCATTACTCTGTCCATAATTGGATTTTTAAAGCATATATAAAAAATATATAAGTGAACATGTATCTTTTAAAATATTTCAGGGTATGAATTGGGTTTAAAATTCGAAAAGGCAAGTTCCATCTATCACACTGCATCTGGATAGGGAAAATTACGAACTTTTTAAGCCAACTTAAACAACAAAAAACATAATTTACAAAAAATCCTATCATTCAATATTTTTAAATTTACATTGAAATGCAAGTCCTTCAAATTATTGATTAACTGTAAAAATTTCGAATGATGAAGCTGACCTCAATATTTCACAGGACATCATTAAAGACGACATAAGCAGCACAAAAACTTGTCATGTTAACATTTCTGAGTACGGGAAAAACCAACTATGACGTCACACGTAAACTAAATAAGCGAAATAAGATATACCTACATAAGATTTCCGTCATCAGCCATGCAAAAATAATTTTTGTGTTCCCTGTTTCTCAAAGTACTTCATCATATACTGATTATGACCTGTTTTTACATAATAATACCGCCCTTGTATTCACCGAGTATGATCTTGCTGTACTAGCAGATCGTGTATGACCTCACCGACTTGTTGGACGCGCAGTTTAAAGAAACAGAGGAGTGGATCAATCTTTTTTCATAATTTGTTAATGTTTACAAGAATGTTAAACTTTTTATTTTATTAATATAAGATGGTAATTAAAGAAAAAAAAAATGTCAAAAATTTACACAAGAACTGATACTGTGAATGTGAAAAGTTTACAGACGGACGGACAGATGGATGGACATGGACACCAGGTTGATCAGAAAATCTCACTTGAGCTTCAGCTCAGGTAAGCTATCAACAAAAAATGATGCCAAAAATTCAAATACATGTGTATGGATCTTTGATAGAGTTTCATTCTTGTTTCAATTAATGCTTTCTTTTTTATTTCAAGGACATAAAAAAAATTTAAATAATAGCAAATCTTAATATATTTCAACTACCAACTTAAGCAGCATCGAGACCCCTGACCTTTTCTGATTAATGTACAGTAATTTTTATTTGCTAGCTATGCCACTGCTAATATATGTATATATGGTTATATAAAGATTACACATAGTTCTACTTAAAACATTAATATGTCATGATAAATATTTAGGTGACAGTCACTTCCCTCTAAATGGAATAATAAATATCTAGTCTATAAAGGAAACAGAGAAATATGTGTTTGCATCAAACTAATTTTAATCTTTGATCTAGTATTTAAGTCTTAAAGTGCATCTTCTTTTGACCATCTTCTTCATCTAGATGTAGTACATATGAAGTCTGTGGATTAAATTTTTTTATTGCATTGCACAAAATGTGAAAAGAGCATAGCAAATAAAATGACTTTGACCTTTACCTTTGATTAAGTCTACCTCTATCCACTAGGTATTAAAGTTTGTGTCACTTAAAATGGAGACAAATTGACAAGTAAATTAGAGATGCAGGGATAGACATTAACTTCCAGATTCACTTGCCCTTCGGGCAAGTGATCTCAAACTTTGACTTGTCCGAATGCAAAACTTTGTTGCTCAGAATTAGGAAAGAACTTTTGAAAAGAAGAAAATTATTAATTACTGTAAATGTTATTATAACAAAAAATGTGACCAAATACACTACTGTCAATTTGGCAAGTTGAGCTACCTGAAAAAAAGTTTTGATGCTGCATCTCGACTGTACATAAATATATACGACTGTACTTGTGAATTTAACCTTTTAACACACACTTTCATGCAGCAATAACCTTCCGTTTACTTTTCATAAAATTCATATTTTTAAAAAATTATTTTCGGTAGTATCCTTTTGTGAATCGTGACTTTCGGAGGTAACTGTGAATCAACGCTAAAGGAAGATAGTTGCTACGAAACATACATGTTATCTTGATCAGGATACATCGTGTTACACTGTACTTATATTCTGTGCGTGAATAAATAATCTAATTTCCTAATAAGAAGTTAACAAAATTTTGTTAGATGGAGAGCGTATTTACTACGAAAGAAAATAACGAATCCGATTTTTAAATGAACAGACAGAACGGTATAACCCAGCTACCAAGGAATTCCGAATGCAAAAACATTGTCATCCAGGTGCGTGTGAATATCAAGTGTTCAATTTATTGCGTTATTTATAAATTAATGTAAACTAAATAAATATGTACATTTGTATGAGAAAAATTCACTTGCCCGATCGGACAAGTACGTCGACAATTTCATTGCCTGAACTGAGAATTTACTTGTCCCGGGCAATCGGGCAACCGTTAATGTCGATCCCTGAGATGGACAAAGTGGGTACCTACATCTTGATGCAGGACCTGTATGATGGAAGTTTAAAAAGTTTTGAATTGGTCTGTTTTTAGTCAGTCAGACGGGAGAGGGCAAACAAACAATTATTTAAAGACGGCCTAATACTCCCAGATAATATCCTCTATATAAAAGCAGGATTATTTTAAACTTCCAGGATACAATTATTTTTTTAGTTAATTTCCAAATTTTTTCATCCCATTAATATCTATTTCAACTTTATATTCTTAAGTTTTTTTTTAATAAAAAAATTTCCCCCTTACCTATCTGTCCAAATTTTTTATCCCCTGTCAGGAAACCGCAACTGAACATTATTTTAAAGATGACCTTAAAACCCCCCAGTACTGCATTTAGTATTATTAGTAATATTCCTTTATTTTACCTTATTCAAGATTTTTATGAAGGAAAATATTTTCAAGATTTTTTTTACTGAAAATAAGTTCAAGCTAAATTGCTTCAAATACTAGAATGTAGCTTAGAATAGCGTTAGCTGGGGTCCACATTCAAGAGTAGGTGCAGTGTGTTTGTTTTGTATCGAGAAAGAAGAATAATTATGGCTGGACCAAGAATCAAACATGAGACCACAGCATCACTGGTAAGGTGCTCTTAATTAGCACTTTTCTAACAACTGATATTCAAGTCGATACCCATGCATAATATTATAGCTGAAACCTACAGTTTTTTCTCACTCTTCGTTACTTTAGCAAATTTACTTCAAATTAATTTTTTTTACCTCTTACATGTTATGGAAAAAATTGAATAGATATAATAAGCATTTCTTACAACAACAAAAATTGCATAGGGGTCAAGGCCCACAACTTCTTGTCAGCAATTAAGAACTCAAGATACATTTATCTAAAAGACTGGTATATGATTTTTAATTTATTTTGTTTGTAAATGATGCATGTCATATACCATTATATCTCTAAAATATTAAGAAATTGTAGACTTTCTAAGATGTTCCAATTTCTTCCTTTTGCCATCAACTTTATATATATATATACCGGGGTATATATAATAATATAGTTACATGATATATAGATATATAGATATATATATATATA